GTGTGGGTGTGTGGGTGTGGGTGTGGGTGTGGGTGGGTGTGGGTGGGTGTGGGTGGTGTGGGTGGGTGTGGGTGTGGGTGTTGATACCTTCTTTTTCCTTACTTACACCCACACCCACAACCGCACCCACACCCACACCCACACCCCACACCCACACCCACACCCACACCCACACCCACACCCCACACCTACACCCACACCGACACCCACACCCACCCACACCCACATCCACCCACACCCACACCCACACACCCACACCCACACCCTAAACCCCTTGTGGCTAGACTCTGAACGTTATAGGAAATGAAAGTGAGGGGCATATGTTCGTCATTTTGACTGTTTATTTCTTTTTCAGCATGTTGTTCCCATTGGGACATAACTTGATTTAATGTTGATGACGAGTACCATTCATATAAGTATTTTGATAGCTGCTTACGTTTCTTTTCATTAAATCCACAATGTCTAAGTCGCTGTTTATCCGTTTCAATAGGATTGCTGCTAATTGAGAAGTGAAAATTAGAAGAGAAGGAAAGAGAAGTTGGAAAAAAGTGGGAGCATTAGCATTTAAGTTGGTACTGTTAAGGGCCCCTTCCCCTCAGAAACCAACTGGGTTATTTTTCGTCTGATTTCAGCCAAATATTTCAGAGAATATTAATCTAGGCTAGGATAGGTTATGGAGGAAATATCTCCCCCAAACCTCCAATATACTAACAAGTTATAGTCAATTTATTGGTAAAAAGTACTCTGTACGCAGGCAAGGTTTTCACCATGTGGACCTGGAGCCAACAGGTCGGGGCGGTTTTTAGGTTGTAGAGTGCCCTTAGGGCTAGGTCGTGATAGAGCCCGATTTTTGAATTTTCCTTTCTTTGTTTTTTAAAAATCCTTTTTTCAAAAACACTTGAATTCATGACCAAAACAATCACTGATCAAAATGAAAGATCTACAGCTTTTATTTCAGCAAAAGAGAGTGTGGATGTGGGTGTGAATATGGTTGTGGATGTAGGTTTTTTCTCCTATGGTACCCACACCCTCCATAGTCTAGGCCTTAAGGAGCTATGGGTACCTCCATAGGATATATGTTCACGTTTGGAAGGATCTATCTGTGGCAAATGAGAAAACATGGAGTTCGAATGATGGGTAAAATGAGGATACGTCGTAAGTGAGCTCGAAATTTCGAGTTTACGTGTCGAGCTCACTTTTTTTGACCTGCGATAAAAAACTCTTTGAAAATATTTTAAAAGATTGATTTATATAGATTTTATTTAATCATGATTAAAGAAGAAAAAAAATGATTGTGTAGAGTTGAAGTATCAAAACCTAACTAAGTTTTCTATCTAAGGTTAAAATGAATGTTTGTTCAAAGATAATCGACCATGATTTTGACACTAATTTCACGTGCCAGAATTTCTGAAAAACGTTGAACAAGCGTATCACTTGTAGTGCTATTCGCAGCAATATTACCGAATACACTTTTGAGCTGCACAGCATCCTTGGCTGAATATGTTTGACCACCGCCAGTTGATGCCATATTAGCAAGCAATTTAGCTTCTGCACTTCCTGGGGCTATACCAGAACCAAAGCCAACTGTATGACAAATAAAGTTGTGATTTCCACCATATTTTTGCTTCAATTGATGTATCAATGCAACAGGATCTTCTCCACCACAATTCGCACCGTCTGACATAAAAATCATGACAACCGATGATGCTGTTCCATCGGCAGCAATTGATTGATCTGCTACTTTTAAGCCTGCACTATATGCAGTACCACCTTTGTGTAACATTGGTAGATTATTAGGAGTATTAACAAGACGTTGACGTTGATATATGAGACGTGCGTTGTTATCGAATAAAACAACTGTAATATGGTCATCACCACCTTGATCATCATTACGTTGTGTTAGAAATCCACTATAAGCAGTTTGTAGAGAATTCCAGTGACCACTCATTGAACCCGACTCATCAAGTACGAAGACAAAATGAAATGATTGATTCTCTTGTTGTTTTTCATCAAACAATTGAATTGAAGTAAATACTTTACCAGTTTCATCTTTTTTAGCATTGTAATATTTAGTGAATGCCGCTTCCATTTTAGCTGTAGCTTTTGGTTTTATACGACAAAACATTAGATCAATTTCTTTATCTTCAGTTAAAAGACGATCACAAATTGATTGTACTGTATGTTTACCGTTTCCCTACACATTCATTATTTGGAATCAAATTTATACAGATATATTAACTTACTTGTGGATAGTTGTCGATTGCAAGATTATCATTTAGTTCTGGTCCATGACCTGGTGCATCAGTAATGAGTACAATAAAACGAGCATTTGTTTTACTCCAATTTAAATTTAAACATTGATCAAGTGCCCCAAGAACATCTTCCGGTAAGTCATTACCACCACTTGCTGTTAATCTATTAAGAAAATTGATTACTTCTGTTGTATTATCTGTAAAACCTTGAAGAAAAAATTGTGGTTTATTATTAATATCACGATATGCAACAATAGCAAAACATAATTTTAAATTAAGTGATGGATATTCTTTTTGAATAAGTTTTGTAATTCCATCAATAATACTTTTCATTTGCTCTTTAGCTGCTGATAACCATCGAGACATACTACCTGTACAATCAAGACAAAAACATATATTAACTAAAATATTCGATGGTGGTTGACCACTATTCATTAACATTAATTCACGTTGACCAGCTAAATCTTTAATCATATCATTAAAGACTTTTTTCGATTGTAAATCTTCAAAAAGACTTTGTTTCGAAATTGTATTCGATGTATTTCCAATATCTTTTTTAATTAACCATTCAAGTGAACACAATTGAGGTTCATTTTCAAATAAAGATCGTATGGCTTTTGGTAAACCATATGGTGTAGCACATTGAATATATCGTTTATAAACAGATTTTAAATTAGTTTGGTCAATTCCAATAGCTATAGCAACTAAATCAATTCCATTATCCTCTGCACGTCGTTGTACCATTGTTATATGACTAGCACAATTCGTATAACCATCAGTTAAAATAAATATTTTCTTTTCACCACGTACTGAACATTGATTAAGAAGATCAATAGCAGCTTCAATAGCATCAGCATCTCGTGTATCATCATCTTGATCAAATCGTAGTTCATTAATAAGTGTTGAAATACATCCAGTATCCCATGATTGTTCATTTGTTTTAATTAAACGTACTTCTCGACCAAAAATAATAATTCCACAATTATCTAAATTGAGTTTTTTTAAAGCACCTATAAGTACAATAATTCCATCCATAATTCCACTACTAAGTGTACCAAACATTGATGTTGAAACATCAATAGCAAGACAAACAGCATGTTCACGTTTACCACCAGCTAATTTCGCACTAAAAATTTTCTTATAACTCCATTCTGTTGTCATTGCTTTAATTAAACCAGGTAAATAAAGTGATGAACCACGTAATGCTGCTCGACGACGTGTAAATTTATTATATGGAAAAACAACATCACCAAATGCAACTGTTAAATCATCGATAAGACTTGAAAAAGCAAATTCATCTGCAATCCAGTTCTTTTCTATATCTTGCATTTTTGATGTTATTTCAAGTTTATGATAATATTGACGAAGTTCATCGATTGCCTTTGATGCATAATTTGTATATTCATCTGAACGTGACAAATAATTCATTAATTGAGATTTTAACTCTGTCAATTTTGGAATAGTAGCTGTTGGACTACTAATTGTATATGAACTTTGATTTTCTGCGTTATATTTTAGTTTTTCAATATTTGATTCTTCGATTTTATTAGGCATTTTAATATTAATTATAGGAAATATTGATTTTGATGTTGCCGCTGTTGTTGCTGATGATGATGTTGTTAAACATGCTTTAATCATTTGATACATTAATTCAGGTACTTTAATTGGCAATTCTTTAATATCATCTGCTTTAAGAACACAATGTTGTGCTTGTCCTAAACCTTTAAGAAGAACTTGACTACTACTTTGTTCAGCTGTTTCAATAAACATAAAACCAAGTTTAATATCATTTTTTGTAATTGTACGTGAATAACTTCCTCCATCACGTTCTTCTGTTAAACCGTCAGTTATCATAAGAACAAGACGATGAACAATTGTATTTGGTAAAGTTATTGAATCTTTCCCCTTTGGAAAAACTTGATCAGCAACACGTGCTAAACCAGTAGCAGGATAAGTTCCTTCATCAAAAGTTAATGCTTCAAGAACATATTGTCCATCTTGATTAGTAAATAATTCATGAAGATTTTTTAAAATTTTCTGATTTTTTCGTGTACCAAAACGTGCAACAGCAAATTTTGTTTCAAGTTTACGTAAAAGTTCCATAATAACAACTAATGTTTCATAGATAATTGTACGATGAATACTCATTGAACCTGAATTATCAATCATAATACACCAACGAATTTCATGTCGATCTAATAAATTCACATTATTTATTAATTTTTCCCAATTTAAACGAAATTCTTGTAGAATAGTATCTATCATACGAGCAATTGCTGGTGTTTCAACAAGTAATTGATAAGTCCATTGATCAGGTTTTGTATTTGATTTAAGTGCTGAACGATTATCTAATTTACCTTCGGGTAGTGTTGAAACAACTTTCGTATTTGCTTTTTCATACATATCAATTAAATTCGGTTGTTTTCGTAAATGTTCATGCATAGCCATCATTTTCAAATCAATATCGACTTGTTGAGAACCATCTGTATCATCTACAGATATATCACCAGTACCAGTAGTATCACTAGCTGGATATGCTTTCATTTTATTTGTATTTTGAGCTAACATGGCACTTGCTAAATTTCCCACATTAGTTTGAATAGAACTACCTGAATTATGAACTTTTCGTTTTTTAGGTTTGTTTTTTGTTTCGTTCTTAGCTATTTTCATAATATCTTCGAGTTGTTGATCATCAGTTTTTTGCATGGCATTCTCCCAATCATCCATCTTCAATGGTATATCATCATTACTGGTCACTGTTGGTTCAGTTGTAGTATTCAATTCAGTAGGATCAGATGTGATACCAATTTCTTGAATAAGTTCGAGTTTAGTTTTCTTTGAAATACCATTATTCGAACCAATTGAACGTGAAGGCGGTTTAAAATCTTGTTTAAGTTGAGTAGTATCTACATTTAATTGACGTAAAGTATTGAGTAATAATGGATAATTTTCGAGAGCTAATGAAAGTAAACATTTTTCTAATTGTGTAAGATCTTTAACTAAAAATCGAACACCTGTATAAGCAAATGTCGGCTCAAGAATTTTTTTTGCAACAATAATATCACGTAATAATTGTAAACCATATTGGACTATTTTATGACCATCAGCAATTTGATTGGGATCATTTGCATTCGATCGATGATGCATAAGAACATTGAATGTTGCAAAAATAGCATACCATTGTGCTACTTGTGGACGATAATCTAATGCTGCTTTGACAATATCACGAATTGTATCCGTTTCATCGAAACGAACAGATTGTCGAACATTATTTTTCAAATAGTGACTGACAGATGTTTCCATTTTTTTAAGAGTTTCTTCAGAATATGGACATGGAGTTGACGTTGTTGTTGCAGTTGTTGTTGTTATTGGTGGTGATGATGTTGTAGGTGCTGGTATATTGATTATTGATTTTGGTGGGTCATTTTGAGAAATATCCTGTTTCAGTGTTTGATGAATAGCTTCAAGAATAGATGGAGAACTGGTCGTTGGAATAGATGATGAAGTATCAATGAATCCTTCACGAGTATTTTGACGACAATTCGCAAGTGTGCATAATGCTGATGATATACTTGTTGTATAAAGTTGTTGACATAATGGAATTCCTCTAGAAGCTATTAAACCTGGAAATGATGTCAAAATCGATGAAAGTGCTTCAAATAAGCGTTGAAATTTAGGACAAGTGATATTAAATAATGTTAACCATGATGGAACAATATTATCAAAGAGAAGATAACGATTGTAATCATCGACAGCGAGTAAATTTTGAGGAGACAAACGTAATAAAGTAAGATAAGCATTAATTTTATTTTTAATTTCTGGCGAAACAAATGATTGAATCTGTGTCAATAATTCGACAGGTGATGCTGTAGTTAGTTGTAAATTACGAATTGATGATTCATGTGTATTCAATAACTTGATTTGATCATTTGTTGAAACAAGACGGCATAATTTTAACACAGTTTCAGCTATTGTTTCTTCATTATTATTATCTTGAAATGTTCTTGTCAATTGAATAATTTCTTGATTACAACCAATTGTATTGATGAAGTCGGATATTGTTTCCCAAGTTGGTGTAGAACATATTTGTACATAAGATTCTTTGATTGAAGACCAATTCTTATCAGGATTGAGTACATTAAGAAAATGAAGAGAATGACGAACAGTAACAGCTGCTATCGTGTTTTTTTTGCCAATATCGCATAGTAAATGTCCAAGCATTGCAATCGCTTTCTTTGCTGAATTCCATTGATCAGAACTAAGTGGGACAAGCTGACGTATGATATCACAATATGGTTCAATGTTAGATTTTTCAATTGATCGATTTTTATTAGCATAATCGACTAACGATGTTTTAAATTGATCAATTTTATAAGCAAGATACTCCCGTTGCTGATACGATATATTACAATATGCATAAAGTGCATGAGAAATATCATAACAGGTAGTTCTCTTGAAAATATCCTCAATTTGATTCAACACATGTTGAGATATATTAAATCGTTTAAGAATGATATTTGTGACTAATACTAAATGATTAAGTTCAGCTTGTCTCTTTTCTGATATTCCTTGAATAATTTGAACTAAATCTATATTGTCAACAAAGAGCGGTGACAGTAAATCAGATTTTTGCTTTGAATCTAATGTATTCCAGAAATTATTTGCATTTTTGAATGCTTCGAGCATTGATTGTTGCACTGAAATTGATTGATGTTGCTTAAAATAAATCAAATGTAAATCAAGTAATGCTTGATAATCATTCTTGATTAATCTAATCATTATTTGTTTAATCTGATCGTTAATAAGTCCAAAAAGTAGAGTCCATTTTAAATCAGATGATGTTGTTGATATAGTTAATAATTCACCAAATGTACCAGTTGAAGGTATAAGTGTAGATAAGTGTTGTGCAACATTGAATGTTGTTGATGAATGAATTATTTGATGAATTAAATCACTGAAAACACGTACATTTTTAGGCATAGCACAATCATTACTAACACAGAAATGTATAAGATTAATTGCTTGTTGATAAGCATCATCAGGTGTACATTGTTCAAAGATATTCCAGAATTTGGATACATAATTTTGCATTGAATATGCTTCATTAATATCATCAGCAGAATTAATTACAGATAACAGTTGAAGTCGAATAGAATCGATATCCATAAACGAACGATGAAATAATTGGCAATGATAAAAAAATGAACGATAATTCGAAATTGAAGATCGAAGGTGTTTACTTAATATATCAATAGAATTATTTAAAGTATTACCATCATTAAATGATTCAAGTATAACTTTTTCTGCTTTACCTTGAGAAAGATTAAAGCAAAATGTTGACCATTCATCTTTAGTTTCAGGTAATGAAGATTTTGTTTTATCTGATCCACATATATGAGCAATAGCAGTAAGTGTTACTAACGGAGCATAAGAACTATAAATAGAATGTTCTCGACAAATACGATATAACCATAATGAAGGTAATAGATTGAGTGCAGACCATATTTGACAGTTCGAATTACTTGGTAATGCAAATGTTGATAATGGTATTGTATGTCCAATAATAATAATTGTTATTGATCGATTAATTAATTTTCCATCAGTATCAATAATTGGATCACATAAACTTGTTAATTCAATTTGTGCAAGTTCAAGAATTTCTGATTGAAAACTATGATTTTCAATCGTATCACATTCAATTTTAACAGAAAAGTAATGTGTCTGATTTGGATTAATTCGAATAGGTTGATTAACTGATATCAATTGAGTTTGTGTTGATGATCCTTGTACAGTAGCTAATTTAACGAATGGTTGTTTTAAAATTGATTCAGATATTGTAAAACGAAGTTCTTTTTTCCCAATATTTTCTAACATTAACTGATTTTGTTTAAAAATCTGTCCTGATTGTATTGATCCGATATCAATAAGAGTACGTGGTGTAGATCTTAAAATAGGTGTTTGAAATTCAACATAAAAAGGAATAGCGAGTGGAGTAGTAGAACTGTTTGATTGAAGTTTTACTTCAACATCAAATATTCGTAAATCAATTGGATGATAGATAAAACGTACAGGAACTGGTGATTGTGGTAAAACAAAAAAATGATCAGGTTCAATATGAAAATGAGATGTTAATGGAATTGATGGATTTTTCTTTGAAACAATTTCATTGAAATTAATAATAGCTGCAGCTTTACCAGAATTTTTAAATGTTATTTCATGTTCAATAGGTTTTAATTGAGAAGTATTTCTGTTCCATATTTGTTCCATATGAGCTTTTTCAGATATATTAATGATTTGTTTATTATCCCCATTACGAATTGAATAAGTTATGTCAGCAAAAGATGTTTCGCAAACAAATATTAATTGACATTGTCGTTTATTATTAATAAAATCAATATTAAGAATAAATTCTTGATGTGTATTATTATTCATTTGTATTTCAATATTAATAGTTTTCTTTTCATTAACTGGCATATGAATATCACTTGTTATTAATTTCAGTGTTGGTGAATGAATACGAAGTGTATATTCAATTTGTCCAGTATTTTGAAATTCAATTGGAATACGACGTTTTTCATTTTTATAAAAATCAGGAATAAGTAAACGATTTGATTGATTATTATCCATAATAATACGACCTTGATATAAAAGCATTAAATGAGTTTGTCGAATGTATCCTAATACTTTAAATAATTTAAAATTTTTTGCTGTATTAATTGCTAAACAAATATCAATATCAATATCTTCTTCAATATTTTCTGATGATTCTAATGCAATATTAAATGGTATTGTCGATTCAGCTGGTATTTCAAGTTCATTATTTAAAATAATTAAATTTGATTGATAATGATTTGTTTCTGTTGATTGTATTTGTGCTTTAACACGTACTGAACATGGTAAAACATTTTTAAAAAAAATAGATTTTTCAATTTGATGATTATTACACGGTATTAAACCAAAATCAATTTTATCACTTGAAAGTTCAACATCAATTTCAACTGTTTGTGTCTGTAATTGAATTGCATTCGTAATTGTATAATTCTTATCAATCAAAAGATTCCAATTTTCATTTGTAAAACCAATTGTAGTTGGTGATTTTAATAAAATGTCAAATTGATATGTATCTGAAGAAGCTAATTGAATATTTTCATTTGTAACATCAAATATCTGATTATCATTTGTTGGTCGATCAATACATAAAAATAAATCTCTATCTGATTGATTATGAATAAAAATTCGTTGAATTAATTTTTGTTGAATATGAGCAAGAGTAATACCAAAATCAAGAATAGCTGGCTGGGCATGAGATTCTAATTTAATTAATGTATTATCATTAGTTTTTGTTTCAATTAACCATAAATGAGCATCACGACTCATATGCGAATGACTAAATGCTTTATTTAAGTTAGGTTCTATTGGAAATGTTGTTAAATTAAGAAGGCGTTTTATTTCCATCCAATTATTTGATGTTCGTTTAATTGTTCGATAAATTCTTTGTGCATCATTTATTATCGATTGACATTCATTTAAATATTCAATATTTACTTGATTAGATAATTTCGGTATTTGATTATATTCATTTAGCATTGAAGAAAATTCTTGTTGAATATTTGATGATGAATTTTCCGATAAAGAATTAGCCCAAGCATAAGCAAGAATAAGATAAGATTTCATTTGACGTAAATGATTAATAAAAATATTCATTTGTGTATTACCATCAATTAAACATTGTCGACTTAATGTAAAAGCATTTTTCATTGAATGAGTCCAAACAAGATCAAAACTCGTAATACGTAATGCTGGATCATTATCATCAACAAATTGTATTGTTGATGAAATTGATGAAAAAGTTTCACTTCGTAGAAGATTTAATGCCTTAATAAGTACATCTGAACGTGGAAATTTCATAAATAATTGAAAAATATTTGTTGTATTTAATAAATCACTTTCATGTAAATTTGGACATTGAATTATTTGAATAATTTCATTAAGATTTTTTGTAACTAATTGAAATGCTTGTGTAATCGATGATTTTCTGAATAAATCTCCTTCTTTTGAATGTGTTATTTGATTTTCAAGTTGTTCTTCTAAATCTTGTAAATTCTGTAATATCTGAGAACGAGATGGAATCATTGTTGGTGAAAGTGTATCTGCAATACTATTTACTGTATAACAATAATTTCTTGAAATTTTTTCACATTTTAATTCTACGATATCCTTTATTCGATATTTTTCTCGGTGATCAACTAATTTTGACCATTTTTTATGTTCTCCAAGACAAAAGTCAGTTTTGATCGCTAAATGTGTTACTGATGTGTTAATAATCAGATAAAATTTTGTATAAAACTCAGTTAAATTTATCGGTAAACATAAAAATGGTTGTTCAGTATTGGATATCCAAAATAGAATAAGAATCTTATGTAATTGATAGTTATTACGACAAATTTCAAAACGATAAATTTGATTAGATTTAGGAAATAAACTTTCATTTAATTCTCTTAAATTCAAAGATATTTTATATCGTTTATGTAAATGAATAAGTTTTTCTAATTCTTCTGAATGAGCCCTTGTAAATATTTTATTATTACCAATTTGTTCTGATTGCATAAGTAATAAAGTATTTTGCAATACATATGCAAAATAATTATCAATATCATTGAGAGTTGATTGAGTTGAATGGGATAAAAATGGCGACATCAATTTTCCTCCAATATTTAACAATCCATGTCCCAATGTTCCCCAAACTCCTCTAGTTGATTTTCGGTGTTTACTTCGTAATTCAACAAAATTTTGTCCAGCTATTTGCCATTGTTGATCAGCGCGGTTATTTTGATTAAGAATTAATTGAAAATCATTTGAATTAACTAATTGTTCATAAGTATTTTTGACTTGTTCTTTTGTTAATTTACAAAAACTTTGAAAAATTTTTGATTCTTGTCGATAAATATCTTCAATTAATTGAAATGATTGATTAATTGATGTTTTATTACGAATAAAATCATAAAATGGTTGTTGAAGAAGAATATTTTGACTATTTTTATAAATATTTAATGTTGAAATAAATAATTCTTTAATAATAAAAAAATCCATATATTCGATTGGTTTATTAATAATAATTAATTCAAGATTATCAATTCCACCGAGTGTTAATTGATAAATTATTTCAAGATGATAAAATTGTTTTAAATAATTTGTTTTCATTTCAAAATTAATTGATGCAAAAATAAGATTTTTCCTTTGTAAAATTTTATCAATATCAGATAAACAAAATTTTTTATTTGAATTTTCATCATCGATTAATAATTCTGAAAATTTTTTCATTTTTCGTTGATTCCATTCAAGTTGTCGATGAATTGAATATTTTTGTGTTTGAATAAAACCACGTAAAATTTCTTTAATTGTTGTATTCCAACGAAAAATTAAATCTTCACTAAACATTTTCATTCCTGAACGATTTTCAATTAATTCTTCAGATAATTTATTAAGATCTTTTGAAATTTTTTCTAATAAATTTGATTCAAATAATTTAATAAGAAATTGACTATGATTATCAATTTGATTAGTTTTATCAATAAAACATTCAAAATCTTTACAAATTTCAATAAGAATTTCATATTCATCGATTTTTATTTGTTTCGAGATTTTTTCAATTAACTCATCAATTGTTAACCAGGTTTGTTTAATCATATAAGCAGATGGTAATAAGAGTTTTGTAAATGCTTGTATTGAATGATCAAGTTGATCAAATAAACCAAATGGATTTGAATTAAAATCAAAAACAATATGTAATGTAAGAAATAATAGAGTGCTATGATGACTTTCTAATTGCATTTGACGTATTTCAAGTAATTTAAGTAAATCAAGTTCTGTACGTGGTAAATTAAGATCAAGATTTTCAATTGATATATCAATTAATAGTTCATCAAGTGTTTCATTTATTCCATGTTGTAATTGTAAAAATCGACAACCAACAATAAGTAAATTAATAACAAATCTTTCAAATTCTCGTATTAAAAATTGCATTTGTTGTGCATTTTGACTAGTCATTGATATATCAAAATTAGTAACTTCTTTATGAACATAATCTTTAATATTTTGTGCACGTTTCATAATTTGATTTTGTTGACAACCTTGACGAATTTCATTTAAAAATAAATGACATTGTTCATTTGTTCTAATAGTTAAATTAGATAATTGTTTTTTTTTAAGATTTTCTCCATAAAATTTCATTTGAGATGTTTTTAATATATTTGAATAATTAGTCCAACTTGATAATGAATTTAATAATGATGAAAAAGACATACGTATTAAATGACAATAAAATAAAATAAATGAATACATTGGATCATTTTCCATTAATTTCATTAAATGATTTTGAATTTCAAATAATAAATCATTAATATCTTTTTCTAAAATTTTTATTTCATTTTCATCAATAAGTAATTTAGTTGGTTCATGTAATTGTTGACGAATTATATCAATAATAATATTAAGTAAATCAGAAAGATTTGTCGATGATGATAATGAAGATTTATTAGTTAATTTTAAAATATAATTTTGAATTTTTTCCGAGATTTTATTAAGATATTGTAAAATATCAATTAACCATTGTTCTTGTTGTTGTTCTTGTTTTGTTTGACATATATCAATAAATCCTTGAAGTTGTTGTTTAAGATTATTAATTTCATTTCTTTTCATATCAACATTTTTATTCATTTCATTTTCTTTTGTTCGCCATTCTAAAACAAGATTTGTTTTATTTTCAATTAATGAAATTGATTCATTTGTAACACAATGAAGTTCAAGTTCAGCATCTTCACGATTTTGACGAATTGTTTTCAAATCATTTTCATATTTAAGAAAATCTTGTTCTAATTTTTGTAATTTAAATTCAATTTGTTTTATATGATTTTGTTCATCTTTTAATGTTGTTATCTTTAATAAACGTATATTTTGTTTAAAATCTTCAAGATAAATTCCAGTTGAATTTATTAATATTAATAATCCAAATGAAAGTCCTATATGAATTGGAAAAAGTTCTTTAATACTTGTACAAATTTTCATTAATAAAGTTTGATGACTTTTTGGATCAATACAAATATCAATTAATTGTTGAACAAATTTTGATGTTATATTTATTAATGAATGAATATGTTTTTGTTTATCAAATAATGATATTATTTGTTTATCTCGACGATAAATATAACTTGATAGACCAATATCTGTTTGAATATTTGATGGTATCGTTGATAATTGCATTGGTTCAATTTTATTAATACGACATGAAAGAAATAAATCAATTTCATTAAATTTTCGAAAAATAATTTCTATAGTTGTTGTATACTCAGGTGCTAATAAACAAATAAGATCTTCAGGTCGTATAACAACAGGTAAAAGATTACAACTTGCATTACTTGTAAAATTTTTCATTTGATTTTGTGCTAAATTAAGATCATCTTTAAATTTTCGTATAGTTTCTAACATATTAAATACATTTAAATCAGTTTTTGTTGTCCATTGTCGAAGTTCACTTGATAAACGAGCAACATCAATATAATTTGATAACATTCCACGTTTTGTTTCTTCATTAAGTAAATCACATCGAAATTGTGCATAATCTAATATTATATTATTAATTAATTTATCATTTGTATTATCTTGATTTGTTGATTCTTGTTCAATTTGCATAGCTAAATCATCATTTAATATCATTAATATTTTTTTTAATTCTTCTTGATCATTTGTTGTTAATAAAGACATTGCTTTTATCCATGTTTGATCAGATACTTGTGTATGTGTTAAACGAATTATTTGATTTAATTGAGTAGATTGATTAGCTTTACTACTTTTATGTATTTTCTCTGAATATTTTTTAAAATCTTGTTGATGATCATAAATATTAATTGAAGTATTCTTAAATTGAATATCTTTATCAGTTAATTGTCGAATAGGTTTATCATTAGGTAATGTAACATTAAATGATGTATATTGATCAATTTCTCGTTTAAATTTATTTAATAAATCAGTTAGAATTTTTTCTTCATTTAAAAGATCTGTTAAATTTTTATCTGTTTCTTTAATAATATCAAATTTTTTTAATCGATGTAAAGCTGAATGAATACGTTGAATAATATAATGTGGGCGTATAGAAAGATGACCAGCTCGTGATAGAATATCAGTTAAATTGTTGATACTAGTATCAATTTGACTTTGTATTGTTTGTCTTCGAACTTCTTTTGGATCATCATTAATTAAAGAATTATTATTTTGATTCGATGATGATAATAACTGAGAACGATTTTCATCAAATAATGGTGATAAATGAATAACAATATTAAGAAGATTATATTTTGCAAGTAGACTATTTGGTACATGAAGATCAATTAAATATTGATCAAGTTGTTTTTGTAAATGAATTAATGTTGAAGATGTTTGTTTAATAGAAATATTTAATTGTCCATTATTAATATCAATTATTGATAATGTTGAACGAAATATAGTTTCAAAATGAAAAATAATTCGTGGTGTAGATTTATAAAATTGATCTGTTAATTGATAACCACCAAATAATATATGTTGATTTATTAATTTTAATAAACGATTCATTTTCTTAATAAAATCAAAAAATATTTGAAAATCTTTTATATTTTCTGTTGTTGTTGTTAAATTAATATCATCATGTAAATGTTGAATTATCATATGTATGCATGCATATTTATTTGTTAATGTTTGTAAATAAGCTAATGATGTAAGACGACTACTTAAATTTGATGGCTGAACTGATTGAATTGTATATTTTAATTCTTGTTGAATATTTTGTGTTATTATTGATGAAAATATATTTTGATAAGGTTTTATTAAATTCCACATTTGTTCAACTGATACCAGCCAGGGATTCATTGCATAATTTTTTAAACTAAATGATTCTAATTCTTTTTCAAAACGATTTAAATTTTGATAAATAAAAATTGGTAATGATTTATGTTGCAAAGAATTATGTTGAACAAATTGTTTTAATTGATCAAAAACAATTATTAATTTTTTATACATTTCATCAGTTGTAGGTGTTGATAAACTACTTTTTTCATGTAAATGTATTAAACAAGCTAAACCAAATGTTTGATAATTTTTATTAGTAAATGTATTAGCTATATCAGATAATTGTTCTTGTTCAATATTATGTTCAATTTCATTAGGTAAAATTTCATCTAATATTTCATTAAAACCATTAATATCAATATGCTCTTGTAAACTCCATAATGTAATTAAAATTTTTCGTGGTTGATTTTCAATCGTAAATAAACAAGAATCAAATGTTTGTTTTGTTGGACAATAAAAAACTAGATGAGAACGATTAAATGTTCGAATATCGAAATCATTTTGTAATTGTTTCCAATCGGAAATAAAATAAAATCGATATTGACTATATAAATTTGGTAAAACAAAAAAATTACATAAAATAAAAATAAGTGGTGTTTGAAGAATATCATCATGTTGAATTAATATTCGACCAAATGGTGTTGCTAAAACAGCACGTAAGTCAAGTAAACCATCAACATTAATTAAACTTGAATTTTGTTTTGCTTCAACTAGTAATTGATAAAGAGAATTTAATTGTTTTGCATCGGATTGTTGAAAATGTTGTTGAATAAATTTATAAGGAACAGATTTAATTAATTTTTGTATTTCATTTTGAAGTTTAGTAGATGCATTTAAAGCTTTATCAAGTATTGTTGAACGTGTTTGTTCAATTTTATGATATTGATTATTTAAATAATTTAATTGTTCACCTAATCGAATAAATTCATTTTCATATGATGTTAATTTACTTGTTAAATCATCATATTCAGGATCAAACACTGACATAGTTCTTTGAAGTTTTGGTTTATTTGTTTGATTAGTTGTAGTTGATGTTCCTTCTGTTTTAGTTGATTCAGTTTCTTTCATAAGAATTTTATTTTTAATTTGTTCAATATTTAATTGACATTGATTAAATTGATTTTGTTTATTTTCAAGATCTTTTTTCATATTTAAATAATCATTATTAATTGTATTTGAGTGGGATGGTAAATCTTTAATAATATCTTCAATAATAAATGATAATTGTTTTGATAATTCCCAAGAAGAAAATTTAAATTCACAATCAAGAATAAAATCATTTGTTATTGGAAGATTTTTTTGTAAAGCATCACGTACACTAACAGTTAAATAATCATCAAATGTCCATTGTAAACCAATCCATTCTTGAAGTGTAGAAAAATATTCTAATGGTAAAATAATGTTTGGATTTGTTTGATCTCTAATAATATGTTGAATAAGTTTACGTAAATCTTTTCTTGATAAACGTATTGGAAATGTTTGTGCACGTTCAAATGACCAAATAATTCCTGTATCAAAATGTGTAAATAAATGAGAACGAAATTGATCTTTTGCATCAATAAAAGCAACATCATTAAATAATTCATAAGATTTTAATTTATCTTTAAATGTTAATAAAGGCCGGAGATATTGTACTAAATGAGAACATAATGAGATTAAATTTGTTTTTCGATCAAAATTAGAAAATATTGATGAACTAAAAAATCTGTGAAATATTTCAATTATTGATATTGAACGTTGAAGAAATGATAAACGTTGATCTGTATCATTAAATGATGTATTGCGTATAAATATATCAAGTAAATTACTTAATTGATCACAAACTGCTTGAAAAGATTTTGATCCATTAGTAAGAAAATCTTGAACAAAATTTGATATATCCAATGTTTGACTTTTCTCAAAATGTGTATTTAATTGTTTTGATTCTACTAATTTAAATAACATTTGAGAAAGATCAAGTTTAATATTATTATCATCCTCATTAATTAAGATTTGTTTTAATTGAATTATTGGTGCATCAGATGGCTTTAATGGTAGAAGAATATCATCAATAAATAAAATTAATAAATCACGTGTTTGTTTTATATGTTTATTATCCAAAGAAAGTATTTGTAATAAAGTTATTTGAAATTCAATAAGAAATCTTTCAAATTGAATAAAATGTGATCGAATACATTGTGCTTCTTGTAACCATAATAATTGTTTTTGATCAAATTGATCTGTAGCTGTTGAATAAATTGTTGATGATGAACGAAGTTGTAATTTATCAATTATTTGTTGAAGTCGATTTATAAAAAATCGATATTGATTTATATCTCGTAATGACGAACAATATGAACGTATCAATGACCAATAACAAGCATCAACTGGATTTACATTCTTATTAACAAGATAACAAAGTGTATTAACACATTGCTCAAGTAACCGGTAAGTTATCATAAAATCACTTGGATAATTAAGACGACTATCTTTAACATATTGTTTAACATTAATATGTGTTAAAACAAGTAAATGTGATAATTGGTTTCCAGCTGGAATTTTTGATAATTGACTTGAAATTAATTCATATAAATCCGTTGTTGTTAAATCAGAATCATCTGTTGTTAAATCACATTCATCAATCGGTGGTAACCAAATACGAATAACACGATTAAGAAATGCTGATGAAAGTTTATTTGAATAAATTCGATTAAGATTAGCTGTTGTAAACAAACGAAAATTTGGATGAATACCATTTTTTTGTGTTAAAATTTGTCCATTAGAATTTTCATATAATGATAACATTGGATTATCTTCAGTTAAAGAATTTAAACGTTCTAATACTTCAGGTGGTGCACTATTTATATTATCTAAAAGAACCCACCAACCTTCGCGAATAGCTTGAATAAATTCAGATTCAACAAATGTAAAACTCATTTCTTGTTTATTATCCATACGAGCATCTTTTAATTTATTTGCATAATAATCTGATTGACGTGCATAACATGATATAAGTACTTTAGCATCATTTGATAACTGGGAGATTTTTACTAATCTATGTAATAATATAACTAATTCATTGAGACCTTCAATTTCATATGGAATCATTTCATATCGATTTGAACCAGATATTGGAATTCGTTGACGAAGAATATTTTTAAATTTAGTAAATACTTCACTATTACTTGTTTTTGATAATAATGGCATTATTATAAGAATAAGCATTTTAATAATTTGTTTAAACATTGTATCAATTTTATCAAATAATGGATGATTTTGTGTTTTATTAGTAGTTGGTCGCCATGAACCAATTAAATCAGATGTTTCAAAATTTTCATGCATTGGAATAGTAATAAGACGTTGACGAGTAAGACGAGCTAATTCCATAACTAAAGATGACTTTCGAGAACAAATATCACCTTCTAATAGTATAGTTCGTTTTGATTGACATGCAGCAGCAAGTAATTCTAATTGACGAATAGTTTTCTTTGTATGAATAAGAGCATGATCAGATGATATAGGTTCTTCTGTGCCAGTACTAATATAGATTGAACCAATTCGAACTACTGTTGCTACAGTTGTATCTATTGAATAATCATTTTCACGTTTACTTAATGTTGCATTGATTGGAAATTTTGAATTAATCATTTCACATGCTTTAATAAAATCATATTGACCATGAAATTGACATGCATAAACGACTTGAGCAAATTTTCGAATTGATAAAAAGCGACTATCAGATGCATTCATTGTAGGACTCAATTCTGTTATTTTATTTTCTTTGTTGTTGTTCTCCTCCTCTTTCTGATTATAATCCTCATCGTCATCTGTCGTATTCATATACTGATAATGAAATAGTTGACTTTCAATTGAACCACGAAATACATCACGAAATTTTGATAGATCACGTAAATTAAGTTCATAGGGTCCACCTGTTCGTCCGATTGTACCTTGGCGTACAAGTTCTTTAAGTGATGTATGTAGATCAAAGAGTGCATCAAGTTGAGACATACTAATATTATCTTTAGTTAATTCCTGTTGAAATAAACTATTAAGAATAATACGAAGCTCAGTTGCAGAATAATCATCTAATTGTACAATAGTAAATAGATTACTAATCGAACGCGGTAATTTATTACGACCACCACCAATTGTTGATGGATTCATTGTTGCAAATAGACGAATAGTTTTTAGTTCGACAACTTCACCAGTAGCCGGTACAACAAACCGAGAAGTACCTCGATAGAATAAAGGTGTAAGACCTTCAAGTACTTCAGGGGCGGTTAAATTGAGTTCATCGAAAAGAATCCATTTTTGAGCTTTAATCGCTGATAATACTCGACCTTCTTGCCATTGAAAGATACGAGTACCATTGACAAACCGAGGAATAACACAACCAATCAATTGATCAAGTGATGTATTAGCTGACATATTGATTCGTTCACATTTTTTATTTAGTAATGCACAAACTTGTGTGACAACTTGAGTCTTACCAATACCGGGTGGACCTTCAAGAAGAAGTGGTGTTTTAGACGATGTTGCTGCAAAAATGCGTGCAATTTGATTGATTAAGGTTGATGTTGGTACACAATAGAAACGTTGCTTAAGTTCGTTCGTTTGTAATGTTTGATTTTGTTCATCGTTTTTTTCGCAAGAATATCGTACACCAGTATATTTCAATGATATATAATCACGAGTAACTTCAAATGGTAATGTCGATTCTACAGCAGTATCCATTGATTCAATTGATTCCAATGTAATAGCTCCATCTGTAGGTTTAGGAGCTCGAAAGAGATGTTCATATTCTTGATAATTCTTTCCCAATTTCGAATTTTTATTCCAATCTTCGAATAGACTAGCATGTCTTGACATAGGTAATTGATCAAAAAAGAAAAATCGAGCACCGAGAAACATTCGATGAATCAGTGAAATCGATGTATGATGATTAGCAATGAAGTCTGCCCAACGAAACAAAAGTTGAATGTCATTTTCAAGTTTCCATTCGGGATCTTCATGTAATTTTTGACGCAATGAGAACATGATTTCAACCAATGAATCAATTTGATTAGAACTGATATTGTGTTTGATCATTTCAGACTTAATTAAAACTTGAAGTTCTTTTTCTGAATAGGCTGGTACATGAATTTCTGTGAAACGTGAACGTGTTGCTGGACTCAGTTTGAGTAATTGATGAGCTTGTTCTTGATGTACACTGGCAAATATTTGAAATTGATTTGATAAGACAATATCAAGTTGACCTTTTTCTGCATGACTTGTAATGTCTTCTGTGAGTGCAAATGTTGGACTTGGTTCAAGCATCGAATTGAGTCGTTCAATCACTGCTTGACTTGGTAGATCGAGATCTTCAAGAAAGAGAATACCACCTCGTTTTGCTGAAATAGTAACAGGCCCATCATTAAAAAGAAAAATAGGCTTCGTACGATCAAAATTAGAAGCAATAAGACGTTCCCATGTATCATTAAATTTTGTTTGATAATCGAGCAGTGTTGCGTCTTTAGAAGTGAATGAAGCATAATTTGTATGTTGAAGTATAGCTTTAAATTGTTCACGAATATCGGCAATGGTAACGATAAGCTCGTCAGGAAATTCAGTTTCATCTCTTTGATTCGGAGGTATTATCGATGATATAGATGTTTTGGTCTGTCCAGTTGTATTGATCACATTGGAAAATCCATCATCGAGTATTGTCTCTAACGATTGATCTACTGACTGTCTCGCAGATTCTTGTCCATATGTCGGCAGATCAAAACCATCGTCGTATATGACAGCAGAATCTTCCAATTGCATATTCGATTGTGTTGGAAGTGCTTGAAAACCAAAACCATCATCATCAATAAAGTTTGTCGAATTGGTAATATGACTTGTTGTTGCTGAACTTTGACCGTTGTAATCTCCAAAATTACCAAAATCATCATCTCCTGATTCATAGAATTCACCTGTGTAGTTTTGTCCATTATCTGGTTGATATAAAATATCAAAAGAATCGTCTGGTCCATAAAAACTCGACAAAGGATCGATTGTTATTGGCTTCGATTGAGATGGTAAATTGTATGTTGTTGTTGTTGTTGTTGATTCACTATTGTTATTGTCGACATCACCTATAAGTGTGTCTTGTGATAATGGCATCATGAGAGATTCGGTCTGTGCACGAAGTGCATCAAAATCATCGTGAAATTGATCGTTCTGTTGGCGTCGTTCTTCATCACGTGAATAGGCATTTTCAAATTTTCGAATAGCATCTGGCAATTGTATCTTGATTGCATCAATCAGAGGTTGTAGAAAAGTTTCATCTTTCATTGTCAAAACTCCTGTGTTATTATGATGCCGACAAAGACTTTGAAAACGAAGATAGACACGTTCAGCCATAGCTGGTAGTCGTTTGAGTAGATCCAAAAAGGAGTATGGTTGAATTTCTCCAATTAGATCACCAGCTTCTGTATCCGGTGTTAAATGTACTTTGATAAGTTCATGGGATCGGTTCGAAAGATTAGTCCATGTTTCAACGAGTAGAGTTTTGCATGATGTTGGACCAACAAGAAGTACAGGTTCTTTAGCAGCAACAGCTAGAGCAAGGCGTGTGAGTGAACGAAGAAATGTTTCAGGTGATGATGGTACTAGACTGTCAACTAATGTTATATTCGGTACATCAACGTAGAGTTCACCTTCTCGAAAACGAACTTGCCCACCAATGTCTTTAATTTCGACCTGTGGATTTGTTGACATAATAATTTTCGGCCACGTTTCTTTTAAATCTTTAATCAATATTTCTCGTGCTTCAGATTCGACTGGATATTTAGCACTTAATAATAATGCACCAATAGTAGACCAAAGTTCTTTGTTTGGCGATAGAAATGCATGTCGATGAAGCCATTTAACGAGTTCACGAAATGTAATACGTGATCGAGTACGAAGAACTCGATGATAAAATTGAGCTAGTTCTTTAGCTGAGTCTTTTGTTAAACATTTTGGTTTTAATTTTCCGAGTTCATTACGTTGTAGAATGATTTCTGGTAGTTCATTATCAAGAAATTCTCCAAACTGTACTTCAAGAAATCGATTACGCAATGATACTGGTAACTGATATCGATTAGCATATGAAGCATCATTTTGTGTAGCAAAGAATTGAAATCCTGGTTTAGCTGTTATAATCTTACCACTGGTTGGTATAGTGATAGCGTTTTTACCCTCTAGTAAAGGAAAGAGCATGTTCATGACGGATGGATCGGCTAAATTGAATTCATCGGCAAGGAACCACCAACCGTTTTCCATTGCACGATAGAGAGCACCTTTTTGAAATGCAAAACCATCATTGACAGGTAAAAATGTACCAAGATAATCTTGAATTGTAGTTGTATCGGTATTATTTACTCGTTCGAGTTGAATGCCACTATTAGAGTTATTATTAAAAATTTGAGTCTTCAGATTCTTGCACAAGTATGAAATAAGTGCAGTCTTACCAACTGCTGCTGGTCCTTCAAGTAAAAGAGGAATGTTGCAAGTTACAGCACCTAATACTGCATTAGCATAATTCAATCGACTTTCAGTCAAAATATGTTCGTCACTCTTATGAATCCAGTCAGTGAATATTGGTTGACGAAGGTCAGTTGATGAACGATTTTTCGTAAGTAACTTCTTGACATGATCGGTTATTTCCTTTCTGAGATTTTCATCTTTAATTTGATTAGCAATCGTAACATGATATGCTGTCCATAAGCTAGAGATAAAATCCAGTGTAGTTTTGAATCGTAATTGAAGAAGATAAGCACTATCAAGCAATCGTATGATATTGCGCATGGTAAACTTAGAAAAACTTTTAGTATGCTTTGTGTAGAATTCGAGAATTGCACGACAAAATTCTACAGTCAATGTGTAGTCGATACCAGGTTCATCGGATAGCAGAGCTTTAGTAATCTGAAGTAATTCTTGTGAATCATGTGTGACATCGAACGATATATCAGGCATATGAATAACAGCAAAACGATTATAGAGTGCTGGTGATAGTTCATTTGCTGAACCACTCGCATTATTTTGTGATGGTGAACGATTATCAGGTGGTGTCATTGTTGCTACTAATTGATAATCATCATGGATAGTTTGTTCATTAACATCACCACGTTCAGTAAGTACAAGCATAGGCTTTTGTTCTAGAACAGGATTAAGTCGTTCTAATACTGAAGATTCAGCTACGCCAAGATTATCAAGAAGAACCCATTCACCATTTGTATATGCTTGAGTAACATAACCATCTTGCCATATAAGCTTTTGACCATAATTTGGATCATTCTCATCTTTACTATCATTTGGAACAAGTTGACCGATAAGAGCTGATGGTTCCGTTTCTGGCGTTATGTTCAATTGATGGACACGTTGTCCACAGAACCAAGCCAATGTAAGTAAAAGTTCTGATTTTCCACAGCCTTCTGCACCGGTAACTAAAATTGGCTGTTTAATATTCATGTTGAAACATACTTGCTTCAATGTTGCCAATGTTCGATCAGTAAGTACATAGGGTATTTCTGGTTTTACAAATGAATCATCAATTGTCTTTCGTATCAAATCAGGATCCTTAAAAATTTTACTGAAGCAAGTACGAACTAATTCTTGTGCTGCACTGTGACGAAAACGACATTGATACATTTTACTACCATGAAGGGCAAATTCTTTCTGTGATTTGAAAAGATTTGAACGTGCAGCCGAGATAAGCCATTCCCAAATCCATGATCGATTAATTCGATAAATACCATGTAAACCAATAAATTCATTGTTTAGCAAGGCTTTATGAATTGCAGTATGAGCTTCAAGTGCTATTCTCCATAAGTCTGGATGATAATCAACTGTATCAAGATTAGCTGATGTAAATGCGCGAGTCCATTCAGTTCTTGAATCTTCGATTGGTCTTTCAATTCGGGCTCGATAGCGGACAGTATCAAAATAAATATAATTTTTATCTTGATCAATGATAGTTTTGATATTTTGAAGTGATGGACGACCCAAACCACCTTTACCATTGTCGGTAAGTATATTTTCGATGAGAGTACGACCTTCTGCACGATATCGTGCACCATAGACACACCAGGCACTAAAACTGAGTAGAGCGGCACGTGCCGTTATTTCATGAGGCCATAATCCATTGTTCTTTTGAGAAATAAGTAAATTTACCCATTTGAGAAGTTCACGAATTGATGTTTCTGCATATGGTCCCGTTTCGACAGACGGGTGTTTCGGATCATTTAATGCTTTCTTGATAATAGCATTAAACTTAAATACGAGTAATTCAGCCAAAGCTTCGGCTTCATCAGGTAGATAAGGTGTCAGTTGTTGTTGTACGATTTGACGCCATTCATTGTCTGGTAACTCTTTGAAAACGAGTGGTCGAAAGCGACTTAAAAATGATGGAGATAATTTTTCACGTTTACCCTTAAAAAAACCTGTGCTTGGATTTTGTGTTGCAAACAATCGAAAATCTGAATGCATTCGATATACGATAACTGACTGTTCAGCTGAGCTCGAATTGTTTATAGTTAATTGGCGTGTATCAAGAGCTGATTCAATGGCTTGAAGAACTGTATCTTGAGCAAGATTAAGTTCATCAAATAGTATCCAATAGCCATGCGCAAAAGCAGTAGTAAATGGTCCGTCGACGAATTTCAAACTTGTTGTCTGAGTTTCGACATCAGGTACGAGCGATACTTTACCAAGAAGATCATCGATAGTGACACGTGAAGACATATTATAACGTACTAGAGTACGACCCGATTGTTGAGCTGCTTCCATAACACTAGCACTCTTTCCAACACCAGTGCTACCTTCAAGTAAAATTGAAATGGGATCATCGAGTACTTCAAGAATTTTGGATACATTCTCGCGTGCTGTAGCAGTAAGTACAAGTCGATGTCGTTGTTGTTGTTCATTTATAGGACATATCTCTGAACGTTGTTGGGATATATAAGATCGAAGAATTTGATCAACTTTGTCTGCCTCAGCATCATTCAAATTTGTCAAAAACTTGTGTCCAACGATGAAGTCGTTATGCCGTACTGGAACGATTTCTGTTGTATTTGAGACTTCACTAGAGAAGAATGATGTCTGTTGTTCTTGATTGGTGCTTAAGAGATCGTTAATATTGTCTATTGTCGATTGATCTTGAACATTATCAATTAACACCGAACGCTCGTTAGGTGACAAATTTAATATTTCAGCTAGGAGAATAACACCGGCTTTTTTCATTTGACCTGTGCGACCCAATAGGCCCATGATATCAGGAATGAATGAAGAAAGTAATTGAATAAGTACAGTACGTGATCGTTGTTTGATAATTTCTCCACTTAGACTAAGCAGATGCGACGAACTTGAATTATTGTCATCATCAGTCACTTCATCAATAGTACGAAAGAGACTCTGAATTAGAATTTCAGGTTGCAATTGTGACAGCTCCCTGTTCGTTTCATCAGTTTCTGCCAACGATGAAATAAATAAAATGATAAGAGCTAGAGGACTATGACCTTCAAAATTGATTGATATCAAAGTAGACGAATATTCACCCAGAAAAAATTGAGCAATATCGTTTGCATGTTTACTGTATTTTGAATAACCAATATCAAGAAGTAATTGAATGAGACGGAAAATTATCGAAGGTAAACTAATTAATGATAACCATGTTTGAATGATACGACACAAATGATCGGATCGAAAGAGACACTTTTGTGTTTGAGCATTTTTAGCTAAGAATTCAAGAATTGCCAATAGAATAGGAATGAATTGTGTAGCTTTATTGGATTGAATACATTGAAGGAGTTGCTCGACTTGTACATCGGTTGCGTGTTGGACATACGTTGCTAATGTTGTTGTAGGACATAGTGAATATTCAATCAGTTGAAAACAGATCACGTCGTTTGGATGTGTTGCCATGCGATCAAACCATTCACGAAGTAGATTGTATTCTGTATACATGCTCATATATTTCAAGATAATCATGAGAGCAGAGTGGTTTCCACTAACTTCTGCATTGTTGTCTGCTAAGACTAAATCGACATACCATAACAAGGTATTTTTATCAATTTTTTTAATAGCACCCGATAATCCAGCTTCGTAATACTTTGGTAATAAATCGCTTAGAAGTAAGAAGAAACAGAGATGACCACGTATGTTGTGTGCTGGTGTATTTGCACAAATGCGTTCGGTCAATTTTTCAATAAGTACATTTGAATCCTGAGTCTTATGCATGATAAGTATTCGAATAAGTTGAACAATGCGATCACGGACTGAATTGAGTAGATGACTATCACTTAAAGATGGCCATATATTAAATAAATCAAAGATGAATTGAACCAATGCTGCTCCATAACTTTCTATATTCACTTCTTGAAGACGTTCGAAAAGATATTGACTAATCGTAACGTCAAAGTAAGGTAGTTTGCTTAAATGAACATATAAACGTAGCCAAGGCGGGAACAAATGAATAGCTTTGATAAAACTTGGTTGCATACTACTGAGTAAATCCATTAATTGTTCTTTATTCTCACAGACATTCAATGCTTGATGAACAAGATTATCAACACGTTCGCGGGGTTGAACAATACCATCACTACAAACATCTTCACGTCCATCTGTCCATCGCACTGTGAGTGATTGTTTGGAATGATATGCTGGTTGATCAATGGCATCTTTGCGGGCACGATCATCATGACTATCGACTGTTTCGATAAGTAATGGATCGAAGTAGAGTCGCCAAATTGATTCGAATTGTGCAGATACAACCAAATAACATTGCATGTCGATTGCATTGTTCTCATTGTAGTTAATACATGCAATGATTAGTTCGATCAATGCATTCATTTCTTTGCCTGTGCAATGTGGTGTTTTAAACAGACGAATCAAATGTAATAGTGTGAGTGTTTTTTTCGGATCATCTAATCGACTAAAAGAAATCACAGTAGCAGAATGAAAAAAAAAATAGAAATTAGTATCTCGTTAGATTCTTTAAAGGTTTATAATAGAATTTTATGGAAGGATCTCTAGCAGTTTGTAGACTTTCTAATGAGTTAAAGGAAAGAATTAGATTTGTACTACGATGCTTCTGTAAGAGATACTCACGCTGGAAGAAGTCGGCCGTCAGCTTGCTGTCGCATAACCATAATACGTCGTTCACGAACTAGTTCAAGTAAGCCTCTTGCTGGTGCTTCACTAGGCTTTGCTGTTAACCACCATTGCATGAGTTTCACCATTTTGATAGCCAAAAGCTACATATATACATGTATATATTCAAAAGATTTTTCGATCATTTTCAAGTTCTGAGGGTGAGGGTGAGGGTGAGGGTGAGGATCAATGTGGATTGGACGAGCTTAACAGAGTTGTATCACATACCTGAGATGCATGATCTAGGGTTCGTGTACCAAATGGATAGAATACGAAGCGAAGAACATCCGCAGCAGCGTCCATCTTTAGTCGACGTACTTTATCAACTAGACGATCGATAAGAATTTGAGCAGGTCTTGTTTCTCCATTCTGATCGAGCACTCGTGCTAATGCAACCTTCAACTGATTACATGTTTCAGCGACATTAATTGTCGCTGTTGGCGTGGGCTGAGCCAGTTCAACAATTTAAATTTGACAGTTTTCTATATAGATTTGGTTTATCTTTAAAAAAGCAGTCATTTTTTTATTAATGAGAACTATAGATAATAAAGATGTTTAGCTTTCTGTAAAAAATAACTCGTTTATTGTTGAATTCAATCATTAATATATGAATTAAAACAGTTAGCTCTATCAGATAAACGCTAGTAATTCCTCAAAATTCATACAAGAAAAGTAGAGTATTGCAACCCGTGTATGAGATACATACATCCGTGTCTAAATATAGATATAACCAAGGGAAACCAGCTGATTACAAAAAATAGAATCAGCTGCAATCACTCAAAATCAATATAGAATCTTTTTTTGGTGAGTATTGTGTGTATTGAAGTAGAGAAATCCTTGTTAAAATCCCATTTGTTGGTAGTCTTTATCCGTCAGTCAAGCAGTTTTAACCAGGGTTCTTCTGTACTCTACTTCAATATGCACAATACTCCGAAGATGCCTACCCAGATGCATCAATCCGATAACGAAAGCGATCGGATCTTATGAGATCCGACTAGCCGACAAAATTCGATGGGATTTCGTGTGACAAAATCACTAATGGATCTGACCGTCGGATCCTAATGAAATTACGATCATATTCGACTGTGGAAACCGACACATAGTCCGACTGTCGGATTCCTATAAGATTTCTATAAAATCTTTGATCGACTTAGATCGATCCAAAACTAAAGAAACTTCCAGATACTAATTATAGTTATATTCCCATTCAAAATGATGACAAATTTCTCAGTGCACTGTAGATTTTCGTCACGGTGATCACTGAATCCTGTCTAAAATGTACTCGGTTAATTATTATTTCATTCAGTGTTTACAAAACTCAAGAAAAAAGCAAGTGTCAACCATAAAACTAAAGGTGCTACATTCATACACAGATTATTTCGACATTTTTTAATCCGAAAATACTAACTTCCCGATAACTTGTAAGAAAGGGAGAAGTGCGTATACCTCTTATACTTCCATCGGGTTTCACTCGATAATGTACTCCTATATTCGCCCGTCGGATTTCATTGGAAAATGAGCAGTCATCCTATTCCACAATATTGAATATTGCGGAATCAGTTCCATCCAATTCCAGGAACTCTATCGTTATTCAACATCAGTGACCTAATCGACATTGATCGAGTTTCGTCAATTCGCAGAATTCCATGAACTAAGCCCAGAAGAAGTTACTCGAAGTTTAAAGGAATTCCGAGCAATTCCATCTCCGCTCAATTCCCGGAATTCCGTTCCGGAATTGCTTTATTATTTCAGAGATTAATTTTCAACCACAACAGGATGCGTGAGAGTGAGGAACTGACTCTGTAGTGTTCAACATCGTAGAATAGGATGTATTCTCTGGAAAATTCAGTGCTCTATTCTTCCATTAGGTTTTATTGAAAAATGTAGTCCCCTCTTTTTACGTCGAATTTCATTGGAAAGCGTACTCCTTCATTCTTTCTATTTTATATTACTGTTTTATCTAAATACCCAAAGACGAAGTTATATTTCCGTTACATTCCATTGGAAATTCTAGAAATTTTTCTTTTTATTAAAGCATAGGTATAGCCATGCCTAGCGGTGTCAGTTTCGCGTTGCGTTCCCAGGAACCCGAAACTCGGGCGAGTTTCCCGTGCCTGAGAACCCGAAAACTAATAGTGACTCTTTACAAAATGAAAGAAAAGACTAACCAAAACATCAATGCCTTCGAAAACGCACATAACCGATTTTGCTGATGCATTCGCGTTCCTTAGGAACAGTACGCTGAAGAACTCGAACCCTAGCACTCATACATTCAATTTTTCAACTGTAGCAGTGATTTATACTCTGTAAATGATTACTGTTGATGCACATACATGAATTAGTACCTCCAGAATTCTTGATATGAAAGTAACAAAACTCAAAAAGACCTGCGGATTTCCAGATAGAGAACCCACCGGGGTTCCGGGCTCCCATGAGCGAGGACGCCGACCAGGCTCCGGCTTCTCAGGAACGCGGAGCCCGCATGAGGCACCGAGTTCTCGGGAACGCGGAGCCCGCATCAGGCAGAGGGTTCTCGAGAACGCGGAGCCCGCATGAGGCATCGGGTTCTCAAGAACGCG